GGTTGGGTCACAACATGGGGAACTGTATTTAAAGGGCCAGAAGGTTGAGAACCACTGCTCTAGATGGATAGTCATGACTACAGAGTAGACATTTGGTAACTACTTACTGAATGAACAGTTCTACCTCCACAAATATATCCCTTGGATCCAACTCCTCCTTTCTACACAGCTTTCTATGTACCTCCACCCTCTTCTTCCTAAGTGGCTCCCTAATAGTCAGGACCCTTCATTTAAAAAATGTAATTAAAAAAAAAAAGCATAGGAAGTACATAGTACAAAAGCCTGGCACACAACCACATCAGATACTAAACTAAATGGCTGAAAATTAATGAGCTAGGCTGTCCTGAGAAAATCAGTTATTTGTATGTTTTAAAATGAGAATGGATTGATCTCTACACAAAAATCTATTTGTTATATAATAAAAGACTTGAAATAGAAAAGAAAATATGGGCAGATTTTAAAACAATCTCTGCTTAGCGCTAACGTCCCAGCTGTTGTTTACTGATGGGTTTTGAGAGTCTTACCCTCTAAAAGCACAGTTTAGGAATCTGCTAATGATGGGTGAGGGATTTGTACCCAGAGTTTTGGTTTCCTTCTCTCCAGTTCCCTTCTCTCCAGGATTTGCCCTTCAAGTTCCAGCCACTGCTAACTCCAAACTCTATCTGGGTTTCTCAGCCTACTAAGATTACAGCTTCCTGCTCAGTTGTACTCTTTTGCATTTCAATTTGGAAAATGCCTTAAAGGTAAAAGGCAGGATGAATGTGGAGCTAATTTCACATGCTCCCCTTCTCTGAATGGTCACATTTTCTTAGATCCTTCCTATGCTCAATGCCTTCAAACAAAGTACTGTATAAATTCTGTTCAGTTTTTAGAGATGTTTTTGGCAGATGCGTTATTCTAAAGTAAATGGTCACAGTCAGAATATGCCTAATTATGAAAGTTCCTTATTGGTTGCTCAATTTTTCTAATTTCTTCTTTTATAACTTTACTAGAGGCCTGGTGCACAAAATTCACGCAAGAGTAGGCCTTCCTTCCCCTGGCTGCCAGCACTGGCTTTCCTCTGGCACCTGGGACCTGGGCTTCCCTCTGGCACCTGGGATCCGAGCTTCCCTTGCAGCCCCGGCTTCATCTGGAAGGTCATCCGGAGGGACACCCAGTCTAATTAGCATATTATGCTTTTATTATTATAGATACCTTCTTTTATTTTTTTATATATTTTATTGATTTTTTACAGAGAGGAAGGGAGAGGGATAGAGAGTCAGAAACATCGATGAGAGAGATACATCGATCAGCTGCCTCCTGCACATCTCCCACTGGGGATGTGCCCACAACCCAGGTACATGCTCTTGACCGGAATCGAACCTGGGACCTTTCAGTCCGCAGGCGGACGCTCTATCCATTGAGCCAAACCGGTCTCGGCGATACCTTCTTTTAAAATAACCATCAATGATTATTTATACTAGAGGCACGGTGCCTGGGTAGGGTCCCTAGGCCTGGCCAGTGATCAGGGAGGATAGGGACCTGCCTTCCCCCGGCTGTCAGCTGCCGCCTGCCGGCTGGGGCCTTCCTTTGTTCCGCACCACCCCTTGGTGGTCAGTGCATGTCATAGTGAGTGGTTGAAATCACGGTCAGTCAAACTCCTGAGGGGAAAATTTGCATATTAGCCTTTTGTTATATAGGACTGTACTTTTAATGATGACAAAAGCTAATGTTTTGGATGGAATAAATCTGTTTATCGTTTTTGCTCTCATTCATGGTAGATTGTTTTCCCATGTGTTTCACTGTGAGATCATATTTCATCTATTTTAATATGAGGGAATCCTAGAAGTTTAAGGTGAAGATGTTTTCTCTAAGAGAATTAGTGCTTGTGCCTGCTCAGAGGCAAAGTGTGCTAAAGACCTGGAACATATATCATCTACAACTATTCTTTGAAAATTATTTCTAGCTCCTTCACCATCTTGTTCCTGACTGATCCATACAAACTTTAATTTTTTAATAATGGTGTTTTTCTATGAAACACAAAATCAAACACAATACTCAAGTATGATCTGGACAGACAGAGTACTAAAGAATTATTACCACCCTTATTCTGGAAATTCTACTAATGCTAGGATAGCCTAAAGATTACTGCTTTTGGCAAACATGGAAAAACAAATTGTAACACAGAGATGGGGATATGCATAATTATGAGAGAGTTGGAAAAACGTGAAACTCGTTATTTATGAAGTCAGCTATGTAAATTGCGACATGTAAACCATAGTTCTATTTATTCCTTGACATTAAAAAAATCACACAAAAATAAAGGAGAAACAAAAAGCAAAAGAAAACTGCATCTTGTGAAGAGACTTACAGCTAAGCTAGCATGTCTGGCTGTGCGCTCCCCTTCTCTCAATCTTTCTCCTATGATACCTCCACAAAAATGTCTTGGATCATCAACTTAAATCCTCATTTTCCCACATGATCTACTGATACTAAGTTAGATTCCTCCAACCTACATTTTTGAAGTTGAGTTTTAAACCTAAATGAATCACAATAAAAAAAAATCTATCAAATTCTTAATATTGGGACTATTCCCAATCTAAAATGTTTACTTTATGAAAAAAAGTTAAATGGATGAATAATTTTAACAGCTGACAAGCCTAGGTGAAAGGTTATAGTACCCAAGCTGTAATTAAAAGTGAAATTAAAAATGAGAGATTTTTACAAAATTACTATACTGAAAAGCAAATTTGAGAGCAAAAAATAACTGTTTTGTTTTTTAATAATGGAAGATACTTTATTTTTAATCATCTCTCAACATTTCAACTCTTGGTAGAAATCAAATGCAAAACATCTGCATTTTAAAATTAGCATATATTTAACTTTCTTACTCACAGCAACTTCATACAGTAAGACACACACCAAGGAGGAGCACGGAGCATTTCCTGTTCAGTCCATGAACACTATTTCCATGATGATACAAACACTGGACTTTCTCTCCTAGAATGAGTTAGCCATTCCCGCTTTTGTCCACTGCATAGGCTAAGTGGCATCATGGCTGGTTAAAAGTTACTGTGGTGTTGGAGTGATCTAGAAATGGAAAACTAGAAAACTAGCACTCTTAGGAGTGGAGAGGCACTGACACTTCTGAAATGTGGAAAGGAAGAACATCAAATATGAATGTTCCAGAATGGGGTAGTTTTAGTAATAAAGCTGGGTGAAATTCAGCTTTAAATACACATTGAGTATCTACATGCGATCTACTAGATATATAAAAAAGCCACAGAAGATTTGAAAAACCTTAAAATCACTCAACTGAGCTGGAAAAATACGAGCAAATTCACAGTGGCCTCGGGATTCAGCCAGAGAGAGCAATAACTTTGGAAATAACCTGACAGACCTAACATATAACCAGCATATTCATAGTATTTCTTTTTTAAAAAAAATATATCTTATTGATTTTTTTTTAAATATATATTTTATTGATTTTCCACAGAGAGGAAAGGAGAGGGATAGAGAGCCAGAAACATTGATGAGAGAGAAACACCGATCAGCTGCCTCCTGCACACCTCCCACTGGAGATGTGCCCGCAACTAAGGTACATGCCCTTGACCGGAATTGAACCCGGGACCTTTCAGTCCGCAGGCTGACGCTCTATCCACTGAGCCAAACCAGTCAGGGCTCTTATTGATTTTTTACAGAGAAGAAGGGAGAGGGATAGAGAGCCAGAAACATTGATGAGAGAGAAACACCGATCAGCTGCCTCCTGCACACCTCCCACTGGAGATGTGCCCGCAACCAAGGCACATGCCCTTGACCGGAATCGAACCTGGGACCCTTCAGTCTGCAGGCCGACGCTCTATCTACTGAGCCAAACCGGTTAAGGCTCATAGTATTTCTTAATGTCTCTTTTTATGTATTCAACTAATGAAAAGTCATTTTTATAACCCCTCAATAAAAATGCTATGTCTGTTCACATTTTAAAATGGGAAATAACTCTAATAGTTTCTGCTGGATCTAACTAATTTTCATTGCTTTTTACACAAAACATACACAAGTCTAAGATAACAAAAAGAAAAATGCCAGGCACTAGAAATACATTTTACAGACCAAAAATTTTTGGTGGGAAAATAGTTTTCCAGTAAGTAAACCTTTGAATAAATTTGAAACTTCGCATTTTACTTTTTTGATATGTGTAATTCCAAAAATCTGAGCTCATGACAATGCCTTTAAAAACTTGAAGTCATTTAAACTGGCAATATAGTTTTAGATTTTTAAAAGTTGAAAGTATATTGAGAAAGTAATTTTCTTTTATGCCCCCTATATGCCATTTATTTGAAGGGAGACTACATTTTTAAAAAATACATATTTTTATTGATTTTACAGAGAGGAAGGGAGAGGTCTAAAGAGTCAGAAACATTGACGAGAGAGGAACACCAATCAGCTGCCTCTTGCACGTCACCTACTGGGAATTGAGCCCACAATCAAGATACATGCCCTTGATTGGAAATGAACCTGGACCCTTCAGTCCGCAAGCCAATGCTCTATCCACTGAACCAAACCAGTTAGGGCGAGACTATATATTTATATTGCAAAAGTAATACTCATCAAGGAAAAAAATGTTAAACAGTGAAAAGTACAAAGAATGCCTAGTATTTCCAATATTTAAACCCAACCACTATCAACATCTTAGTGGGATGCTGTTGTTTTTTTTCTTTGCTTTTTCCCATGCATAAAGTAATTTGTAACATAGTTTAATTATATACATATAATTTTAATTTCTTTTCCATGACTTAACCTTAGATCATAAGATGAATTCTATTATTCAAGGAACTTAGATGAATGAAAGTAGCCACTGATGGTTATCTGTGCTTTATTCTCTGCAGTTTTAAGAGAAAACACATGAAACTAAGAGTCATATACTTGTGATTTCTTTATCATCTGTCCATTGTACAGTTCCACGAACCAAGTAACAACCACCACACAAAAGGTTTACACTTCAAAGTGATTTTATGTCTCACCTTTTGAGCTGCAAGATGGAGGGCTGTTCTTTGGCTATGGTCCGTTTTATTAACGTCTGCTCCTGCCTTTAGGAGCGTATCTGCACAGTCCAGTCTGTCAGCCAGCACACAGTACATAAGTGGTGTTCTCCCAAATTGGTCTTCTTTGTCTTTAAGGGCAGCATTTCCTGAGTGTAAGAACATATGGTGATATTTTATCATTGTTGTTATTACTAATATGACTAGGAAATACATTCACTGTTTACCAAGCACTGTGCTAAATGCATTAAATATATTTTCTCATTTTTACTGACCCTATGAGATAGATATTACCATCCCCATATTATAGGAAACTGAGACTCAGAGAAGTAAGTGTTTACATGACACTGAAAGGAGGTGTTGGAGCTAAAATTCAAAATGACTGTTGACTCTAAAGGCCATATTTTTAACTACTATGTTACGCTCAATTAACATTTTGAGATATGAAACTACTTATTTTCCTCCCTCGCTCCTTTCTTTTGTCAACAAATATTTACTCAGTGCAGACCATATACTAGGCAATGTGGTATGTTTTTGAGAGATAAAAAAAATGAATCCTGGTTGGCTTTCCGTTTTAGACAATATGATGCAAGTGCATTCTACCCTAATCCTCCTGCTATTTACAACTAAGCTCCCCAGGAAATACATATGAACGATGGAGAAAAGAAGAGAGCCTGGTTAGAGACCTATGAAACTCCAGGAACAACCTGATGGTGAGTTCCCTCAAGGTTTTGTTGTTGTTTTGTTTTTTATCTATATTTACTTTTTATTGAATTTATTGGGGTGACATTGGTTAAAAAATTATATAGGCTTCAGGTTTACAATTTCATAATACATCATCTGTATATTGTATTGTGTGTTTACCACGCAAACTCAAGTCTCCTTCCATCACCATTTATTCCCTTTACCCTCTTCTATCTCCCCTTCCCTCTAGCAATCACCATACTGTTGTCTGTGTCCAAGAGTCTTTCTTTTATTCCCCCTCCTATATATAGTCAGCCTGGGTGCTAAAGTAGCTCACCAGAAACACTAATAGGCACAGACACAAAGTTCCTCAAGATGCCTACTCTCTCCAGTCAAAAGATTGGGAAGTGAGTAGCCATGTAGCAGTGAACTCTTTCGGCTGTACCTACTCTACTCAAAGCTCATACAGTGCAACAAAAGAAACTGCAATTCCTTTTCTCTGCAGAGACTGGGCGGGGGGTGGGGGAGAGCCCTATGAACTATTGTGCCCCAAATTAAGCAAAGGATGGCAATGAGGTGGTATCTTACCCCTTCCCAACTAGAGAGTGGGGGAGTATTGTGGAGAGGAGAAAGCTGAAGAAAACAATTCTCTTTTTTAAATATATTTTTTATTGTTGATAATATTACAGATATCTTCCATCATCTCCTCTCCCCTTCCAAAAAAGCAATTCTTTAAATAGATGCATGAAGTTGTGGACAACTTCTGGGCAGCTCATGTATGCAACTAACCAAAATCAAACTTGGAAAACTGTGAGTTTCTTATTAACTTAGTTATTATTGGGTTACAACCTAACGCAATAATCTCTCTTCTAGGTGTTCACTCAGGGAAAACAAAAGCATGAAAATATGTTCACATAAAAACCTGTATGTGGATATTTATGGAAGCTCCATTTATAATTGTTAAAAACTAGAAACATCTCAATTGTCCTTGATCTGAAGAATGACAAGAGAAACTGTGGCACATCCACACAATGGGATACTGCTCAACAATAAAAACAAATGTACTGCTGATCCACTCAACAAGATGGGGGAAATCTCAAATGCATCAAGTAAAAAACTCAGCCTCGAAAGATACCTGTTGCAGGATTCACTTATATAGCATTCTGGAATATGCAAAATTATAGGAACAGAAAACAGAGCAGTGTTGGTTACCAGAGCTGAGATGTGGGGAGGTATTGATTATACAGGGACATATGGGAATTTTGGGGTATGATGGAACTGTTCTATATCTTGATAGTGGTGGTGATTACATGACTATATATTTGTTAAAATTAAATAATTGTACAAGGGTCAAGTTTATAATACTCACTGCATTACACCTCAATAAACTTTATTTGACAAGAACAACAACAACAAAAGATACCATGGCACCCTAACCGGTTTCACTCAATGGATAGAGCGTTGGCCTACGGACTGAAGGGTCCCAGGTTCGATTCCAGTCAAGGGCATGTACCTTGGTTGCGGGCACATCCTCAGTGAGGGGTGTGCAGGAGGCAGCTGATTGATGTTTCTCTGTCATCGATGTTTCTAACTCTCTATCCCTCTCCCTTCTTCTCTGTAAAAAATCAATAAAATATATTTAAAACAAACAAAAAAAAGATAGCATGGCTCCTGCCATGCACTTTAAGTGAAAAAATGCTGCTACTTTCATCACAGGTAATGATCAGGTATGTATATACTAGCTGAGGGCAATATCATGGGAGTTGAGAATAAGGGAAGCTGGTTACTCTTTTTTTTTAGACAAGCAAACTAAGAAATTTTACCTTTAGTTTTTTTTATTTTTCAATTACAGTTTACATTCAGTATTATTCTGTATTAATTTCAGATGTATAGCATAGAAGTACTTGACAAAATCATGTGCTTTACACAAAGCTTTTGCACATCATAGGAAACTATCAACAAAACGAAAAGACAATCTATTGAATGGGAGAAGATATTCGCCAATGATACATCCAATAAGGGATTAATATCCAAAATTTATAAAGAACTCTGACAACTCGCCTTCGCTGGTTTGGCTCAGTGGATAGAGCATCAGCCTGCAGACTGAAGGGTCCTGGGTTCAGTTCCAGTCAAGGGCACATGCCTAGGTTGCTGGCTTGATCCCTAGTAGGGGGCATGCAGGAGGCAGCCAATCAATGATTCTCTATTATCACTGATGTTTCTATCTTTCCCTCTCCCTTCCTCTCTGGAATCAATAAAAAAAGTATTTTTTAACAAAAGAACTCAGACAACCCAACACCAGAAAAACAAATAATCCAATTAAAAAGTGGGCAGAAGACCTGGACACTTCTCCAAAGATGGCCAATAGACATAAGAAGAGTTGCTCAATAGCACTAATTATCAGAAAAAAAATGCAAATCAAATCCTAATGAGATACCACCTCACACCTGTCAGAATGGCTCTCATCAATAAATCAAGAAACAGTAAGTGCTGGTGAGAATGTGGGAAAAAAGCCAGCTACTTTTAAAGTACTTTGGCATGAACTCTGCTAATGGGGGAAGAAAACTGACCAAATGAAATACTTTCTTTGGGGAAATATAAATGTTAGATGAAGAAAGAGGTGTCGCAGTTCTTTCTGAATTGTTTTGTGCCTGTGACTAAACTATGTTTTAGTTCTAAATATTTCAATATATATTTACATCTTGGATATACTGGAATCTAGAAGTACTGTATAGCATTTCAGATAACTCAGTTTGCTAATCCATGTTTCCACGTATATTCGTAATAAAGCAAGAAAGGTCATGGCTTTTGAAATTCAAGAGCCTTACAAATATATTCAGATTGCCTCCCAGAGGAAGCAGGTGTTCTTTTTCAAAACCTTGGTTTTGAGATGGAGGCAAATTTTGCATTCGATCAACATATGGGATCACAGAGGCTCCTGTGCACAAGTCTTATGAGTGGTAAAGCTCTGCAAGATATATTTTGTGGATAAGGGCCTCCAATATCTATCCAGAAGATTTCAGAGATTTTATCCTTGCCTTTATAAGATAAGGACTCATTTAAACCCAAACTCATTTACAAAACTAAAATGCATTATGGGTAGAGCATGTTCCTTTGAGCTCTTCTGAAGTCAAAATGACACTAACAGAGAACATGTGGGAGTAAGGCCAGTCTCCAGTTGTCTTTCACAATTGAACGACTCTCTCTACCAGCATCTCACTTGTGAATGTTAAGCAGATAGTAGTGTCTAGAATTAGCAAGATGGCAGCAATTCTTATAATCTCCCCCTAGAGTGTGATTCTCCCTTTGGTAAGGGAGGGGACTCAAGAACTGTGGTCACATGTACAAATGCTGAGAAATGGAGGCAATCAGCACATCCTGGGATAATCCTAACTGATTACATTTCTCAGGGCCAAAGCAAAATCAGCAGCATGGGGTTAATACAGGGGTGGGCAAACTTTTTGACTCGAGGGCCACAATGGGTTCTTAAACTGGACCGGAGGGCCGGAACAAAAGCATGGATGGGGTGTCTGTGTGAACTAATATAAATTCAAAGTAAACATCATTACATAAAAGGGTACGGTCTTTTTTTTTTTTTAGTTTTATTCATTTCAAACGGGCCGGATCCGGCCCACGGGCCGTAGTTTGCCCACGTCTGGGTTAATAGGTAACTCTACCACCAAGACATAGAACATCAGGCCAATTGCTATGCTCTTCCCCAGTCAGTAATGGACAGGGAAACTTCAACCTTCTCTTCAATCCCTGGCATACTTTGTTTTTATATAACTGGTTATTTATACTTCCCAACAGAGAAGATTTTACTGGGTTATGTCACCCATTTGATATGTTATGGCTGTAAGGCAAAATTTGTGTATTCGAGGAAACTGGAGGCATAGATCTCCTATTCATGATGAGAAAAAGCAGCATTCAGCCTCAGTTCAACCCCGTTTTGAGTTGCTTTAAGAGGATGGTGGCTTTATGGCTAGTTTCTGAGTAACAAGGATCTCTTCAGGTTCTGAGCTTCCTGGCTAACTGAGAGAGGCCTGTGCCTTTCCTTACCTGCCCTCCCATCCTCATTAGTTTCCTCAATTATAAGATTCAGCCAATACCTGCCCAGCCTACACAATAGTTTATTTTGATGTTTAAGTAAAATGACTGATTGTTTGGAAGTGTTTGGTAATTGCAACATGTACAAACGTAGGGCTTGCAATGTAAACTAATATGCACTAGATGACAGGCACTTGTATTTGCACTGCTGTCGGGGACAGCTAATACGGAAAGCAGCTGCCTCGTGTGCTATGTTGTTTTAATTATTCTGGCAACTGTAGAGAGAGAGCCTCTAATCCAGGGCCATTTGGTGCTCGCTTTAACTGGGCTGGCATTCTGCATGTGCTCACCCTGCACATAGCTCAGAAAGCTGAGCTGAACCATGACTGGAAAGCCGCTGCTCTACTGCACTCAGTTG